GTCGATCGAGATCATTCAATATACGTGTCTGATGGGGGAAATCATCGTGTGATGAAATGGGTGGAAGGTGCAAAACAAGGCATTGTCGTGGCTGGTGGTCAAGGACAAGGAAATGGTCTTACACAATTGTCTTGTCCTGGAGGAGTCGTTGTCGATCAATTGGGCACTGTCTATGTGGCTGATGAAGTGAATGATCGAATCATGCGTTGGCCCAAAGGAGCCACACAGGGAAGTGTCATTGTTGGTGGAAACGGTAGAGGAGGACAATCGAACCAACTCTATGGGCCCTTCGGTTTGTCATTCGATCGACACGGTAATCTCTATGTCGTCGATAACGGAAATCATCGAGTACAAAAATTCAATATCAATTCAAATACATAATGGATGTTGCGGGTGTGGGTGTAGGTATGAGTCTTGTCCTCACAAACGCTGGGCACTCCCATCATAAGGGAACAACTGAAAGTAGAATGATACTTTCATACAGACTTGTAAAATTCAGCGTATTCACAAAATCAGAAAAAATAAATCGACCTGGAAGCCAGGTCAGGCCGAAAAAACGTGGCCTACTGGTAGCTCTAGTGTACCACTGAAGCGAAGACTGATTGATTGGATGACATCGTGACAAAAAAGTGAAGAATCACTAGAAAGAGGAATTTCTAAGTTTCGACCGACTAAAATTGAATCGAATAGTTGATATTTCGTCCACTCGTTGCATCCGTCGTTGATTTTTTCGTGTCTGGTTGAGTTGAAGCTTCACATAGACGAATTTCTTTCCAAATTTGGAAATCGAAGAACGCAATGACTGTACCATTGAAATAGAGTTTATTGTATTTGATAAAGGACGAGCATAGATTTAGTTGTATCTTGAAACCAAGTTCGTTGTGTTATCCTAGTTTTGATTATAAGGATAAATGAATAATGCCGAATTGTTAGGAAAAGCAAATTTTAAAGTTGGGGTGTTAGATCTCCGCAATACTAAATTGTTCGTCACAATATTTTAGAATTAAATTAGCCATGTAGACAATTTAATTAGGCTCGATGAAATATCAACAATGAAAATGGAGTCAAATATAAAGATTGAGCTGGTCATCTGTTATAGACCATTGGCTGTAGTGAAGTAATGATCGTAAAATAATGAACTATTTCTCATTTAAAATTGAATTTCCAAGGTGAAACAGATCCCACTGTTTTGTCTTTTAATGAGATTTCATTCAATTGAAACAACAAATTTTAAAGGTGTGGATTTTTTCATTAAGCATAACATTATTTTCACTCAACAACAATTCCATTTATAGTATCAC